CTTTATTACAATACTTACCAAATTTCATGCAATTAGAAAACAAATGTCAGCGAATAAGAACAAAACGAACAACGAAAATTTAATCAATGTAGCTTGTTTAGAATTTTTTTCTAATATTTTGGGAAATGTCCAATGAAATTAGCAAAGAAACAACACATTTTCTCCTAAGATAGTTCAAGATGGCGGATTAGAACGAGAAGTTGCCAACGTATAACACCTTTCATTATTGCATCATGATTTATCAACAGTTTCATTTTAATTTCAATTTCAATTTCATTTATTTTATTTTTGTCTTTGTTTGAATTGGTTTTATATTACTTTTTTTATTTTAGTACTCACATACTAATAAAAAAAAATCATAAATTTACAGTTTGTACTGTGGCATAATAGCGCCATCATTTGCCAAGTTATCAACAAGCACTGAAAATAAACAATTAAGTAGCATACATTTAGGCTATTATGGTCAAGCCAGCCAAAAGCTATTCTGTAGCTACAGCAGTTAACATTTTTGTGGATATCTCCCCATATACTCCATCAACAATGTTGCTTCAATGTTGAATAATTTTTCTTGTACCATGGCAGTTTGTTGCGGGCGGAGATAAGTTGTTATAGGCTGCTACTACATAATAGTAGTATGTAATTAATATGTGAAATAAAATGAATTAATATAATGTACCATAACTTAAAATGAAAATAAAGTTCTCCCCGTATTCGTATTCACCTGCCAATTCTTTATATGTGCATCCTATTCTATCAGTTTTCTAATTAGGTATTTTTAATTGGCCTTCAAGTAATTGCGCCAAAAATGGCAAGAATTGGGGAAGGCGATTTTTCTCTTTTTCCCACGTCTGTATTTGGTTACCCCATTCCAGAATGTAAAAGTAAATATGCAGTATGTAAATATGTAGATATGTATATGCCAATAATTGCGCCAAATATTGTCATTCGTCAAATCTTTTTTGTCGTAATTTCGCAAAAGTTTTTCTAAAAATGCCGCCGGTTCGGAAGTGCCGCGTACGCGATTGCAGCAGCACCAACGCCCAGACTAAGATGTTCGCCTTCCTCCAGGATACTCATCTGGCCCAGAAGTGGAAGGACAACATTGGAGTCACCCCTGCCGATGGCCACTTTGCGTTCACCAACGCCTTCTTATGCGAGCACCATTTTGAGGAGGAGGCAAAAGGACCGAAGCTGAAGAGGAATGCGGTTCCCACTCTGCATCTGGGTAAGTCTCAATATTTAGTTGCATGAATGCATTTATAGGAGTATATTCGTATACATTCGTATATATGTAAATAATCATTTGTATACACATATGTATACATTAGGAATGGCTCTGTACATTAATTTTTGAT